AGAGAGAGAGAGAGAGAGAGAGAGAGAGAGAGAGAGAGAGAGAGAGAGAGAGAGAGAGAGAGAGAGAGAGAGAGAGAGAGAGAGTTGATGGTTGATCTGTCCTGCCAGTATGTAGCGTTCTGCATCCCACACAAGTCAGTTTACTACTACAGTGATCCTGTGGTGTGTGACGAATCCAAGGCAAGAAGGTCTACCAACGTCTAGGTGATGTGTACTGAATCGAAAGCAAGAAATGCTGACAACCCCTAGGTCAGATGTCAGGGATAGGACAGATCTGGATTTGAACTTTGAAGTGATGTATCTATGGAGTTGGAATTAGATCTGATTCACATTGTGTTGATTTGATTTTTTTTTTTTTTTTTTTTTTTGATTTGAATTTTGAACTATTGTACTGCCGTTTCTTTCTTTTCTTTTTTTTTTTTACCACACACACACACTGCCCCAATCTCTATTCTGGGGGGCACCAATCCGGTTGCTTATTACCGGCAAGCATGAGTACTGCCGTTTCATTGATGCACAAGTTTTCAAAAATGAAGTAACTTGCTTCTGCTCGTCTGACTCCTGCAAGATGTTTTGGATTTGTTGCGGCAGTGAAAGTGAGATTGACACTTGTTATATATCTTAGATGGTCAAACATAAAACAAAAGAATTCGAATTTCCAAGGACAGATATATTTGTGAAAGAGCCTGAGCTGATCTACCACTTGCATCCTCCATGACCAGGAGGTTTGCAGAACTTTCTTTTTTGGGTTGGTTGTTCTTTGACTTCCCCTTTGGAGAAAGAAGCTTGCTTATTAACACACAGGAGGCACAAAGAGCACAGCACAGGGCTTGCTGTAACGCTATCAGCAAATGGCGTTCTTGGCCGGGCTTCCCTCACGAGGAAATTTTGCAAAGACTACGCCAGGCAGTGTTCTTCAGGTATGTTCCGCGTTATCTCTTCCCTTTTACCCCTTTCCCTGCATCCCCACTCCCCCTCCCCCTCCCCCTCCCCCTCCTTCCGTCCTCATGTCCTAAGATCTGCAGATGTCTTGGCCTTTTTGCTTCTCTCGTCTCTTGTTATATCCTGGTCGCTTTTTTTTTTTTTGGTTTGCCACTGCTGTTGCTTGAGAATGGAGCATGGAGAGAACCTTTGAAAGAGCTCGCATTCCTTTTTTGGTTTTATAAACAGCAGGCCTGGATATCCACCACCTTTCCCGCGTCCGCCGCCCCCCTCCGCCCCCCTCCGCCCCTGGGCCGGTAATGCTGTATCTGTCCACTTTCCAGGCAGGGTAGAGAAGTAATGCGGAAAGCTAAGGAGGGGCTTCAAGACAGAGGTCGGATGGGGGACCGAAGCTGTGCCTAAGTTTATATCCTCCCTCTGCACCGAAGCTGCATAATGGTCCCAGTGCTTTGTTTCTGGGTTGCTTGTGGAGGGATTCCTGGCCCCCTTGTTCTTGCTGATAATAAAGTGATGATTGGTTTAGAAAAAAGAAAAAAAAAAGAAAAAGAAAGAAAAAAGAATAAAAAGAAAAGGGAAAGCTATGGTACCCGGTGTCGATCAAAGGGGCAGGAGGGCCCAGCAGGCAAATGACAGAGTTAGCTCCATCGGCAGCATAAACCACTGCAGTACTTGCTGAAGTCGTGCCCGCGAAATGCGCCACGGTTTTAGGAAACGTACGGGCCACTACAGGAGCGCTCAAATTCATCCGACTAGAAACGTTTCTACTCTTATCTTTTCCCGCGGCGGATAGCTGGGCCAAGTACTGGTGGTATAAGGATCCAGTATCAGGGAGGGGGGTGGGGGGCCAAATGTCTTAAGGACCGATGGCCCCTGGACCCGAGGCAGTGGCCCTCCTCCCGGCCACCTCCGGCCCTGCTCAGTCAATCCCGTGTAGCCCAGGGTAATCAATGCTGGCAGGGATCGCTGTAACACAGAGCATCAGTACTCAGACTTCGAGATACACATTATGATGTCTCACTTTCCAATGATGTATTCAAGGGATGCTGGACCTGGTTTCCAGCAGGTGATGCTCCCCACCAATAGATGGAGCGGCCCGCTGACAAAACCTCAATCTCGGTGGTTCTCTTGCCACCACTGGGATAGAGGCCTTGGAAAAAGGTCTGGTCTTAAAAAAAAATAAAAAATAAAAATAAAAATAAATAAATAAATAAATAATAATAATAATAATAATAATAAAAAAATCGGTTGTGCCCTCCAGAATATGCCTCATCGGTTCGTCCGTAATTCATTGTCCTCACCTTCTTCTGAAGTCTGATCCTTCACAGTACAAGCATGTTTAGGAGGTGGGACTTGCGGGGAGAGAGAGTGTGTTGGACTGATGGGTACATCGCAGTGGCTGCTCAGGGCTCAAAGAGGTGGACTAGTAGTGCGGTACTAGTGCCACAAGTCTATTTTAGCAAGCATAAAGCAGCATGGAGGTCACTTCCTAGCAGCAAACTGCATCCATTGTGCAAGGATGTTAACCCCTATGTTGTTTTGATTCTTTTTGGACCATTGTGCAAGCTGGATCCACTGTTCTGTTCCTTACATTCTTTTTGTTTTTGTCTTTCTTCTTCGTGAGAGAGGCAGCTGCCTTGAGACCGGCCCCAGGTAACTCAGAGTTATGTTGCTTATCAAATTGCACAGGGATTCAAACTCATGGCTGTTTAAGGTCAGATAGAATGTCAGAGGGGCATTCCGCTCTATCCACATCTTTTAGGGGTATTTTAGCATGTACATCAACTTTCAGGGGTATTTCGCAAAAAAAAAATCCCTTTTTTTCCAGGTTAAAAGAAATTATTTTTTTGTACCGGGGCCGCACAGGACCTTACTCAGGGGTCCTGCACGGCCGGGAAGCGGGGTGTGTCTCGTGCGCAGGCGTGCAGAGAAACAGCCTAGCAAAACACCAAATTTGGTACCGAAGATTGCCTTGTCTGCTGCACACAAGAGGTTCTTCCCCAGATAAATATGCCCCAATTGCTCTTCCCCAGGTGGATGGAGCAATTGTTCCATCATCCCTTCACAGCAAAGGTTCTCTGGCAACCAAACGTGCCCCAGCTCCCAGCGGTTCATCCACACTGCAGTGCAGTCTGGTGGATGGTTCAGTCAATCCACACTGGCCATCAAAGGGATGGCATAACCTGGGGAACAACCTAAGCTGTCAAACCTTTGATGGACCTGGGGAAGAAGCATCTGGGACTTGGGAAGAAGCCTCTGGGACTTGGGAAGAAGCCTCTGGGACCTGGGGGAAGAAGCCTCCGGGATGTGGGAAGAACCTTTTTTGGGACGTGGGGGAGAACATTTGCTGTGTAGGAGTGTGGGTGGATCGCTTGTTTTGCAGCTAAACTTACCAAGAACTGGAATTCGCTTACGTCATCATTTTTATTTTTATTTTAACAGTTTGTTTGCGATGAGTGACTCTGGCTCTGGCTTGCTTGGAATCTATTCTTGCAGGGGCTATTGCCGGTTTACATCTGCGATCGTGACACGTCTCCACCAGGTTAGCGTTCTCAGTTTCTGTGCATAGAAATGCATATGTGCTGTATCGTATGTGTATTCATTTGGGTTGTGAATTAGAAGGGAAAAAAAAAATAGAGAGAGGGACGGGGGGTTGGGGGGGGGGGGGGGGGGGGGGGGAAGCCCAGGGAGGATAGCCCCTAACGGAATTGCATCTGTCAGGATTTGGAGCTCATGATCTGTTTTCCAACAGTTAAATGCCTGATCACTGTAATGAAATAGCCAAGTGTACTTCCCCCCTCAGTACCATTAAACTCCTCATAGAAGCTGAAATACACGCCCTGTGGAAGAAAACTATGACCCAAATTGAAAATAACCCAGATAAGAAATCCTATATCATCAAAAGATTCGCGACATCTAAGCTAGGAGAAAGACAGACTGGTCATGAAAAATTAGCTAACAATCTCACCGCGGCGCAACCAAAGACCGCGCAACACCACTACAGATTCTCAGACCACCATGACGCCAACAAGCCCCTTTAGAACACAAGCCAGGCCCGATGAAAAGTTGGAAACATCTAAGGCACAGAAATCCATAAATCAGGAAAACTCTTACAAGACAACCCCCCCTAAACAGTATAGAAAAACTCAACAGACTAAGAGCCAAAATAGTAGCCAATCCTCCATCCCTCATTCAATTTCAATACTTATAACCATCCACTAAACATTGCAGTTCTCAGTGTGAGCAGCACAACCCTCCAAACACCAACTCAAAATCACCCTTCCGGCACGGGAAACACCCATCCCATCCGCCTCTCCCATCTCACCACCTACACCCCCCCTCGAAAACTCTTATAAATCACCACCACCAATCCCACTCCTGTCAAACCCCAGCAACCCACAGTGAATACCAACTCCCATACAGGGAGTCGGCCCCTGAGTCCATAATCCCTTCCACTCATAACCCCTTACCCCTCCCCCCAGAAAACGCATTTACAGCCACTGATTGCAACACCTAAGCTGCTTAAGGATAAAAGAGACCATATCGGTTAACACGGGGTAGAAACCAAGGACAAGAGGAGACACAGTATGCGAAGGTATCGGGTACTAGTCTTCAGAGAAAGATCAGGGATAGAACAGATCTTATTTCACAATAAGGACAGAGACATAGCCTTAGGGTTTAGGGTTTTAGAAAGTCCGTAAGCATTAGACCCGCTAAGCAACTCCAACATCCAACACAAAAACTGACAGCCATAGAGCTGAGAGGAACAAGTGAAAGCAAACTGCAATGGACAGACAATAGCATTCGGATAGAATTCTTAGCAGGCAAGGTAGGATCCAAACCCAAAACCAAAGATAGATAGGCTAACTTAGGCAGGGGTGAGGGGTGGTACATCCTTCCAAATGGAAGTAATCAATGCTGTCCACTCGGACGGACGTCTCAACCATAATGGGGATGAGCGTGCGTGAGTAACTGCTGTAATTCTCTACTGACTTGCCGGTGGAATAGGAACCGGACTGATGCTCCCCAGAATGGAACGGAGCCAGAACCGTAAGGTTCTGTTTCTTCTAAGAAAAAAACAGCCAAGTGTACTTACCTAGGCAACCAGCCGGGCCGCTCGGGTCACCCTATTTTCCCGGGCGGCCCGGCCGTGCAAGGACCAGGGAAGGTCCCAGCCAAAAAAAAAACAAAAAAAAAAACACCGAAAACAGAACTGTGTTATGCAGAAAAATAAACTGAACAACTTTTGCCTCAGGGTCACATCAAAATTCTTTTCCAAATTTAAAATAAAAATTCTAATTAAAAAATTATATATCTTTTACTTTTTTATTTCTTTTCGGCCCGGCCGGGCAAGTGGACCCGGGCCACTCTGGTAGCCTAGGTACTTACTAGTTTCCTCTGTTTTTGATTTTTTCTTTTGTTATAAACCACCAGTTCATCCAAATCTAAATTGACGAACCAAAAAATGCATTTTGCCAACCCTAAAAGTGACCGTTTCTTGCCGTTGGCAAATTCAAGATGGTATGGCTGCTGGCCTCTGCATCATTGAACAAACAGTCTGGGCCTCCCACAGACATTTTTGGGCCCAAAGTTACTTTAGTTACTGTTCATCCATTGCTGTACCGGTGCTCGTATACAAAAGTAGATGAACAGTAACTTTGGATGGACTGGTGGTTTAAACTTTAAAGCACCAGTACACCGCACATCGGCCCGCGGGTGTCAGCACGAAACCCGCACCACTTCGGAGGCCGCGGATTTTTTTTTCAATGGTGCCCCATGTCATGCAACCCCTCCGAGTTTTGCTTGTGGCGACAAAAACTTTCTGCAAGGCTGGGGCTGTGTACTTGCAGTTTAAGCGTAGAGCTTTTCTGATAGCCAATTGTGCAGTTAGGAGGCTTGCACCTCCGAGGCTGGCTTGGTAAAACACTCCATCGGTTCGAGCGAGTCGGGTCTCTGGCGAGAGAAAGAAAGAAACTTTGGAAATTCCTTACAGCTCACCTTCAGTGCATGGGCGTCGAGGCCTCAAGGTGGTATTGGTCACAATGTGCCCGGAGTTGCTAGCTGAATGTCATGAATGATTTTTTCCCATGGAAGATTGAAGTTTATCTTTTTTCAGTTGGCTTCTTTGAAGGAGTCTGGCGCACACGTCTTGCAATCTGAAAGGATGAGGTCAGTTGTCTTCTGTGCTGATGGCAGCATTAGCGCAATTCCTCTAGCTCTCCTTCTCCAGGCGATCTCACGGGTCCGGGCCATGGACATGGTAGTGCTTGTGATGTGCCGCAGAGATATTGCTACCTGAATGGCATTGTGATGAAGGAGTTCTTCTTGTGGCAAATTTGAGATCAGCTTTGAGTTGAGTTTTGTAAAGGAATCTGGCGTGTTGGATTGCGAAGATGTTTGTCTTCTGTGCCAGTGGCAGCATTACAGCAGTTCTCTCCTTCTGTGGGCAAGTGTCCTGGTGAGGGAGGATGACGTGAATCTGATAGGTTAGTTTGAACTGTGACAGGCTGATCATCACTTGACCGTATTCACATGAGGACATCGTGAGTGAATGTGGTCACGACTTTAGTTAGGTACATTCAGAAGAGCACAGGTGTGAGTATCCTCTTTGTCGGTATCAGCAGCCTTACGGGATTCTTCAGATGTTGGTTCTCTCAAATACCATCTCAGTTCGCAGCCAGGATGGCTGCGTATAGATGCATGTCTTTTGTCGTTTAGCGGCCGGTTTCCATATGGGGAATGTTGTCGACCGTGTAAGTGGGTATAGAGGGCGTCTTTGCGCGTTGAATAAGGTTGCGGTCGCCAACTGGGCACCGACCGGTCGTTTCTTGAGGAATGCGGCGGCAGTTAAGGGAGATGGTGGTGCGGTCTTCCGGTGGAGTGCGGGCAGCTGGAGGTCGTAGTGGGCTTTCCAGTATAGGAAAGTTTTTCATTATCGGACCGTTCATTCTCCACCAAGATTGAGGGTGCATATGGTTGTTCTTTTTTTTGGCCGGTCGGTACAGTTGCTGTTGGCATGGTTTGATGAACGGGGTCTTTTTGGACCGCGGGTTTGTGGACTGAATCTACAAGTGTGGCAGTGTATATTTTTATGTTCTAGGGGAAGATTCATTCGATTTTGCTCATCCTATTTATGGAAGTAGCATGTGAGGCCAGCCGCGAGGTTGCGGTGTATTTTTCCATGTTCTAACGGAAAATCCAATCTCGTTTTGCACGTCGAGAGTAGTGGAGCGAGGWCCGTTGTCTCGCTTGCAAGCGCCGCTGCACAGCACACCTTGTCTTCCCCATCGCCGCGGAAATCGACACATGTACTGAAGAGCTCTCGATTCTCT